CCCAGCCGAGAAATAACCGGAACAGGTCAAATTTCCAGGATGAAGTTCGGCCGTAATCTACCCCGGAACATGGTTCCAGAATGGAGCTCCTCCTATATCAAATACAAGTCCCTGAAGAAACTGATAAAGTCAGCTGTCCAAGCTAAGAAGATGGGCAATGACCCAGATTTAGCTGGTAAGACTGTTCCGATTGTGCCTCCCTAGATTATACTAATACAACCCCAGGCTTCTTCTACAGCCTTGATCGAAATCTCGAGGATGTTGATAGTTTCTACAATAAGAAGTTTTCTGACTGCTCTCGCCGTCTGAAGCTTCTCGAGGACAGATTCGGTCACCCGGAGACCTTGCCATCCCACCTGGACCCGGAAGACACCGAGGACCTGATGGCTGCTCTACTAGAGCTCCGTGGCCAGCTGCGTAAGTTGCAGTGGTATGGCGAGGTAAACCGCCGAGGATTCATCAAGATAACCAAGAAATTGGACAAGAAGCTTCCCGGCGCCAATGCACAGATAAAATATCTCTCAACCAAAGTTAACCCTGCCCTGTTTGCCACAAACTCCCGTCTTTTACACTCCGTCAACTCCATTAATGAGTGGCTCTCTGTCCTGGGCCATGAAAAGGTCATGGATGATAATAGCTCTACTCACTCAGCCCTTTCATTGAAGAAACCTTCATCCGGAGTAATCCTTAACCTTCCTACCAGCCTCCTACTGTCTGTGGATGATGCTCTTAGACGAGACGATACCAATGCTCTTTTAGATCTGCTTCCAACCCTCAAGACTGCTGCTGATGGGATTGGAGAGGCAGTGTTCACCAAAGTCTTAATATCCCTGCAGCAACGGTCGATCTTCTATCGCTCAAAGGCCTGTCTTGCCGCTCTCCTACAGCGAGTTACTTCCCTCGAGGAAGAAGATGACATTAACAAACGAAATTGCATCCATCGCCTGGTCATATCGATTGGCCGGTCGCAATCAACAGTTGACCCTGAATCTTCAGCCACAATGGTATTGAACTTTCCTACAGAAACATCAAATTATATCACACCAGCAACTACTCCAACACTGAAGCCTCAGAGGCCAGTTGTAATGGAATCAGACCACCCAACCCATATTGGGCGCGACAGCCCTGTCGTGATGTTCTTACAATATCTCCTTGACAACCTACTCCCTCACCAGCGCCCCGCGCTTCTCGCAAGAGATATATCAGGAAAGACTCCCTTGCACTTCGCAGCTCAGTACGGATTTAAAGCCGTCTGTGACGTGATAATCGAGCATCTTCAGGAATGGGATATGTTTGATGTATCCGAAGGTATTGATGGCCCACTTTGGCAGGACGAGGATGGCATGGCACCGCTCCATCTAAGTGTAGTCGGTGGTCATCCCCTAACTACCAAGACGCTCCTGGATTCCGAAAACTGGAAAGGCAGTAATCAGGATAAGACGGCAATTCGAAGAAATATTCTAAAATCCAGCGCCGTACTTGCTCTTGCTACAAAGGCGAACTTTGTTGATATAGTCCACCTTTTAGTTGAGGCAGGTGTGAATATCAACTATCAAGATGAACAAGGTGAAACAGCCCTTCATTCAGCGGCGCGATTTGGCCATGATCAGTGTGCCGCTGCCCTCCTCAAGGGATCAGATGAGCAAAAAGCCAATGTTGAGCTGGCAGAGAATACCTACGCTTGGACTCCATTGTTTATTGCCTCGGTGGATGGTAATATCAATATCGTCAAACTCCTCATTGAAGCAGGGGCAAACCTAGAGGCCACTGACTCCTCTGGATGGACTGCAAAGGAGCATGCGACACTCAGAGGCCATATCGATATCGCCCGTCTTTTGGATGAAGCCATGGCTACTTCGGACGGCAGCGTTGAGTCCGATACCGCGTCGCAGTCTGCGGTATCCTCATCTCCACCATCTCAGTGTTCATTGAATGATCGAAACTCGAAAGACCGCGCGCCGGATGCGGTAAAATCCTTTGGCCATCGCTACTTGACAGACAAAAGCATGATTCTTGTAAGCCTGGGAACAATGGATATGAGAAAGACAGCAGATCCCGTTAGCCTTGAACGGATCCCCATGGCAGAGGCCCATCTGACACAGCTCGATACTGCGCTTTCAATCGTTGTCTCTGCAAGTGGCGCGCATGGTGAACCTCAGATAATTGATCTGCCTGTCCAAGACAACATCTCAACAGAGCCAATAGTCTTCCATACGGCAGACTCCAGCAAAACCAAAATTGTCTTCGACTTGGTACCTACATATGCAGGCTCTAAAGATGAAGTGTTCGGCCGCGGCGTAGCTTTGTTATCTAGTTTCAAGCCAACCGTCGGGTCAAGCCGATCCAACCTACAGGGAGACTTTGTGGTTCCACTCATAGCCGCGAAGACCCTTGAGATTATTGGCTCCGTGACCTTCAATTTCCTCGTTATTACACCCTTCAGTCATCCCAAAATGTCCATTACAGAAGAACAGACATATTGGAAGAGTGTTACATCACCTATGGTCATCGGTCATCGAGGTAAGACACATACAACTACCGTCAATATTTCTTTATTCTTGTCTAATTTGGGGCTATTTCAGGTCTCGGAAAAAATATTGCCGGGCGCCATTCTTTGCAATTGGGAGAAAATACTGTCCAGGTTTGTCTCAATCTGCTGCAAATATTTGACTTTCCTAACAGCCGTCCCAGTCTTTTATCGCGGCTGCAAACTTGGGCGCTTCATATGTTGAGGTAAGTGTCATACCCTATCATAAAATATTGTTCGTTTTTACTAAATGCTTTTCGTCTATAGTTCGGTACGCAAATCTGCCAACCTTTCCTTATTGGGACAATGCTAACATATATTGAAATGAAGATGTTCAACTAACCAAGGATCATGTTCCCGTTATTTATCATGACTTCCTTGTTAGTGAGACAGGAATTGATGCACCTGTTCATACCCTTACATTGGAGCAGGTACTTTTCCCCTCCCCCTTGACAGTAGACCCTTGTTTTGTGCCCAGGAGCTAACCTAAATTATTAGTTCCTTCACATCAGCGATGGTCGGAAACCAGCCGGAAAGCAGTCATCCAACCATAGCGGAACGCCAAACTCAGAAGATGGATTTCCACGTCTGTTGCAGACGCGACCACGATCCATGTCAGTTGGTGAAGAACTCGATGTTCCGAACCTCAGTGAAAGAATGAAGCATACCAGAGACTTCAAAAAGAAGGGATTTAAAGGAAACTCACGTGGCGATCATATACAGGCTCCTTTTGCAACTCTTGAGGAACTTTTCAAAGAGCTACCAAAATCTGCTGGGTTCAACATGGAATTGAGTGAGTTGACTGTTCCAAATGCACATGATGGATCTTAGTACTAACCTACCCCATCAGAATATCCTATGCTTCATGAAAGTGAAGAAGAAGAAATGGACACTTATGCCGTGGAACTAAACTCCTTCGTTGACAACGTTCTGCGTATAGTCTATGACCATGGTGAAGGAAGAAACATGATCTTCTCGTCTTTCAACCCAGACATTTGTCTCCTTCTTTCTTTCAAACAACCTTCCATTCCCGTTCTGTTCCTTACAGACTCCGGAGTGAGCCCTGTTGCCGATATCAGAGCCAGCAGTCTCCAGGAGGCTATTAGATTTGCCTCTAGGTGGAATCTGCTAGGAATTGTTACCAATGCGGAGCCATTGGTGCTAAGCCCCAGACTTGTCAAAGTTGTAAAGGAGTCAGGCCTGGTATGCGTTTCTTACGGGACCATAAACAATGATCCAGCCAATGTCAAGGTATGTTCATTTCCAGGTGTTACTTTACACCCCCTATTCAAGTTATCCAGTTGCTTATCATCATTGTGTCCATAGATCCAAGTTAATGAAGGCATCGACGCTGTTATTGTTGATAGTGTCCTCGCCATTCGACAGGGATTGACTGGCGTGGAAGCATAGATATCACTAGTTTTGCTTGATTCATAAAACTCCGTTTGTTATTTAGCTTCTATCTTTACTCTCAATTGCACCGCAAACAATGGGAGATAATTTTCCAAATCGCCCAAGGTGGATTTTACAGATTCTTGTAATTCTTTTTGCTCATTTCCTCCAGGAAACCAAACCCGGCAATTCTTTTCATGTTTTCGTCCCAAAAAATTAACTCAACATTGTGCAAAATTAGCGCGTCTTCCCGATATGCCAAAAGAAATAGCCTTTCCTTTAATTCACATCAAGCATCCATCTTGAATACTAGAATGCAGGTCACTCATTCCTACTCGTATCCGCTTGGGCTGGCTACCGCCTCGGAGACCTATCCCACTTTGGTGCATAAATACTTCCACAAACCACTCATACCAGACTTTCCGGTCGTCTGTCTGTCTAAACATGGTCAGGACAATGTCCGAGTTTTCAGGTATATACAAAGGGCTCTGTAGAAATGTGATTAGCATAGATAGTAGCTAAAATGTGACCTGGACTTACGTACCTTCAAGGGGAAGTATATGGGGAACCAGCTTATCATATCCTTGCTTTTAGCATCCATAGTGAGAGGATTGGTCGACAATTCAACATCCCGATATAACACAGTTTCGAAATATCCTGCCAAACCATGGCATGTGCCGCCCTCAGTGCAGGGGAAAGTTAGTCGAGTCTGGCGAGTGTTATGAGAGTTTGAAGGTCTAGCTGATAACCTCGAATCCTCTGGTATGTTCGGATTCGGGTGCGAAAAAGTCCAGGCTGCCTGAATAATCGGGGTATCTGCCTCTTTCATGGGTGGTGGAGTTGCAGAAGGAGTTGAGGTTGAAGTAGAGGCCGCAGCGCTAGAAGCCACGCTACTAAGATGGGAAACCGCTGGCGCAGTAGTTGAAAGGTAGTCGAATGCATGTAACATGACAACATAAGGGGTTTCCGGAGCAGCCGGGTTCGATTTGGTCTGATTCTGAGTATCCGCATAAAGACGAGGTGCTGAGATGGGTGTAATATGCGATGAATATGAAGTAGGAATTGAGATTCCATGAACGGGGTTTAAAAGATGATCGACACCATCAAGGCATTCTGGTGATAGTTCATTGTCACCAAACGAACCCAGAAGCTCAGATATGATGATGTCGATGGGGTAGTGAACTTTCGAAGGCTTGGTTTCGGCCGCTGGATCTGAAAGTATGTTAGAATTCTTCTTGAGCATCAATTCTACTAATATTTCTTATCGATCATTTGGTCAGGATACAGACATACCTTCAGCCTGGATTTCTCGAACTGGTCCTTTCCAGCTTCTCATATCAGAATGCACCAGTGTCACACTTCCGGCCCAGACAGCTTCGTTTTGCCTCTGGAGGTGGACAAATGCATTTTGGTTCTTCTCTAAAGCCCACAACTCAATGTCAACTCCAGCTTCAACACTTGCTCGAATGGCCCTAGAGACCAAAGGCCCACGCCCAGCACCGACTACAGCTAATACCACCCGGCCATCCTGACTGGATGTCGGTTTCTTTTCAAGTGCCCAGTCCTTTAGAGCTTTCGCAATAGCCCGCTCATACCATTCATACTTGACTGGATCCGTTTCGAAAACCTCGTATGTCACGCTTTCAAGGTTAACCGTGAGAGGTTGCAGTGGTGCCTGCAAGTAATCTTGATATCCCAGAGTGAAGCTTTCCACACGACTCCACTGTGGCTGTTTCCTCTCTAGGTTTCGTATATATGACAGATGCGGCACCAGGTCGTCCTTTTTCTTTGGAGCCTGTGCTGCCTCAGCAGGTGTCGGAGAATAGCCTTCTACCTTCTCCAGTCCAGGTATCGGCCCAACGTCGCAGAGAAAGATCCATGGAGGGATGCCTCGCATTGCACGAAATATGTATGACTGATGTGCTTTGCTAAGAACAGGGTAATTTTTAGGGTTTTTCACGAACGAAGTGCTTGTCAATGTAAGTATACGAACAGGCTCTGACAACCACCTTGTCTGCACAGTGGATGGAGGAAGCTGTCGAGGTAACGATAAGGCTATATCAAACATGATAGTTAGCACAAATCAATGGTAGAATCAATGGAGTAACAGGGATTGATCATGAGTTGATATAAAGGCTGAGGTAAAAGAGGCCTTTGTGTGAAATGATCTTCTGGGTAAATACATTTTTCTTACCTACTGTTAATCTTGTATGATATTTACAAACTCTCCTAATTATATTCCACGCATTCCAGGTTCCAAACAAATCTAACTTTGGGGATACTTCAGGCATTGTGTTGCCCAAATATTCGGGCCTAGCAAACGGAGATATATCTCCCATTTGGTCTGCTTCCAACTCGGGATTGTCAACGACAGGTAACCAGATATTGATGCGAATAAATGGTGCGGTTGTTAAAACCTCTTGAATTGCTCGAGCATAGTAAATCAGCCCATCCCCATGTGAGCTTCCATGGTGTAGTTTTGGACCAGGAATGATAGCATGATGGATGCCACAAAATGCAGCATAAGCAAGTTCCAACAAGAGAACTTGGCGAGATATATCAGCAATAAGTGGGTCTGGCGAACACATGTCTATCCATCGACTTGACACGGCAACCACATAACTGTTGGTTCCTTCTGGTCGCAGATTCGTGTCTGCTGTCGTAAATGAGGGTATTTTGAGAGGTGCAGAATTACGCGAGGTGAAATATGTGCCAGTCACGTCCTGGACTGGCTGATGAACTGTGGAAAGATGGCTTGACAGTAGTGAAAGGACACGCGATTGAAAATGCGGTGTCGTTATTGGTGTTGTAAGCATATCATACTAAATATTCGTTAGAAACAAGTTTGTCGAGGGCGTGTATAGGAAGGAAAATATCATACCCCATTATCATGAGCCAATTGAGATATTTCATTATTGATACGGAATTTCCGATCGGATTCATGTTGTCCGACGACGAATGTCGGCGGAGTTCCCTCAGCCTGGGCCATAGTGAGTATCCGGTCTCCGCGTTACTACCCAGTACCTTGATGCTTTGAGTGATCAATCGCCGTCAAACCCCCTGCCTATCAGAGTGGTTAGTAGTTAACCAAGGACCAAACTCAACAGCTGATAATGCGCAAGTCCAAGTCCAAATCTGAGGCTGGCTGTAGCTAGCTCCAGGACAGATGAAGCCACAGGAAGCTAATAACCATGCCCTCACTCCGTGGGACTGATGTCAATATTTTGATATCCCACTCGGCTTTTCAACGGTTTTCAAATTTGGCGTCGTGGGGGGAAGATAGTTAAAATAGTTTAAATTTTGTGGTGGGCGCCAGACTTGGCAAGTTTGCCGCGGCTCTCTCGGCTTACCTTCCTATCGCGGACCTCCCGCCAAAATTTCTATCTAGGAATATTTTTTTTATCTTTTAAAGACTTCAAGCAGCCAAAACGACGCCAGCTTTGAACGCGGGCATCCTGCAGCTCGACGGCGACTTGAGACCAGGAGACCGCGCAGTTACGTTCATTCGTCATCATGGCAGCTCGGAGTGACAGTGAGAATGCGTCTCGCGCCAAAAGACTAAAAACAACGGCAGAATCAGACCCTCGATCGAACCCGTACCTCGCCCATATGTATGAGAATGAGGATGCATCCAGTGGGATAAACGATGAATCACCTCTCGCAGCTTTCAGAAGACACGAGACAACCGCAGAGATGGCGAATGAGGTTGAAAGCGGCAGTGTGAACCCTTTCACAGGCAAACCGTTTTCCAGTCGATACGTATCCATACTCAAGACCCGTCGCGATCTCCCAGTCCATCAGCAGAGGTAACGTTTGCCATATTAGCATTCTCCTCCTTTTCAAATACATAATTCTAATATTTAGATAGGAATGAATTCCTCAAGCTCTATCAAGAATCGCAAATTCTTGTTTTCGTTGGCGAAACTGGTTCAGGAAAGACTACACAAATTCCACAATTCGTGCTATACGATGATCTTCCTCAGTTTCGAGGAAAGTTGGTTGCCTGTACACAACCGCGACGAGTTGCTGCTATGTCAGTTGCCGAGCGTGTTGCAAACGAGATGGATGTTAAGCTTGGAGAAGAGGTTGGATATAGCATTCGATTCGAGGACAAAACCAGCTCCAAAACCATACTCAAGTATATGACGGATGGTATGTTGTTGCGCGAAGCCATGCATGATCACGATCTCAAGCGGTATAGCACCATCATACTTGATGAAGCTCACGAACGTACCATGGCAACGGATGTCCTCATGGGTCTTTTGAAGGAAGTCGTACTGCGCCGTCCAGATATGAAACTTATTATCATGTCTGCTACTTTGGATGCACAGAAGTTCCAACGCTACTTTTCCGATGCGCCATTACTGGCGGTTCCTGGAAGAACCCATCCAGTAGAAATATTTTATACCCCAGAACCAGAGCAGGACTATGTTGAAGCCGCGATCCGCACGGTCTTACAGATTCATGCTACTGAGCCAGAAGGTGACATTCTTTTGTTTTTAACGGGAGAGGAGGAGATCGAAGATGCTGTTCGCAAGATTTCTCTCGAGGTAGACGAGATGATCCGTGAAGTCGATGCTGGACCAATGAAAGTCTATCCCTTGTATGGTTCTCTACCTCCAGCCATGCAACAGCGTATATTCGAGCCCCCGCCGCCGCCCCGAAAACCCAAGGGAAGACCCGGAAGGAAATGCATTATATCCACAAACATTGCAGAAACCTCACTTACCATCGACGGTATTGTGTATGTGGTAGATCCAGGATTTTCTAAGCAGAAAGTATACAACCCACGTATTCGTGTGGAGTCTCTGCTTGTATCCCCTATCTCAAAGGCCTCGGCTCAACAACGTGCTGGTCGTGCTGGTCGTACCCGACCTGGGAAATGTTTCCGTCTCTATACCGAAGGCGCTTTCAAAAAGGAACTTATCGAGCAAACGTATCCCGAAATTCTTCGCTCAAACTTATCTTCTACAGTTCTGGACTTGAAGAAGCTTGGTATCGACGACTTGGTTCACTTTGATCTCATGGATCCTCCAGCTCCTGAAACCCTGATGCGAGCCTTAGAAGAGCTTAACTACTTAGCATGTCTAGATGACGATGGGAACCTCACTGCTCTTGGTCGATTGGCCTCTGAGTTTCCTTTGGACCCTGCCCTGGCTGTGATGCTGATAAGCTCTCCAGAGTTCTACTGTTCCAATGAAATCTTGTCTATTACTTCCTTACTTTCAGTGCCCCAAATCTTTGTTCGCCCTGTTGCACAGCGGAAGCGTGCAGATGAAATGAAGGCGCTATTTTCCCATCCAGATGGCGATCATCTTACTCTACTTAATGCCTATCATGCATTCAAGGGACCGGAAGCACAAGCTAACCCTCGTCAATGGTGCCATGACCATTTCCTCTCCCTACGATCTCTGCAGTCCGCCGATAACGTCCGACTACAGCTTCAGCGTATAATGGAACGGGAGGAAATTGAATTAGTCTCTACCCCATTTGAAGATAAGAAATATTACGAAAATATCCGCCGCGCACTTGTAGCTGGATTTTTCATGCAGGTTGCGAAGAAAGAGAGTCAAGGGAAAAACTTGTATCGCACTGTCAAGGATAACAATGAGCCAGTTTTATTGCATCCTAGCACAGTTTTGGGATATGAGGCTGAGTGGGTCTTGTACAATGAGTTTGTCTTGACTACAAAGAGCTTTATTAGAACTGTCACCGCAGTTAAGGGAGAATGGCTATTGGTAAGTCCCTTGCTGATGAGGCTTTTCGTATACTTTTCTTTACGTTAGTTTCATAGCTTTCTAACATATTTACTATAGGACATTTCTCCTGCGTACTACGATATCTCTAGTTTCCCGAAAGGAGAAATTCGATCCGCATTGATTCGAGCTGGCGAAAGGTTATCTCGAAAGGAAAAGATGCGATCTGATGCGAGCAAGAAAAGATGAATTTAGCCGAGACCACCATTACGACATTTAGACAGGCAGAGAATTAACTAGTATCTTTTATGATACGGCTGGTTTACTTTGTCTGTAGCTTATGAAGGCTTTGCCACGGCCTATGGGCTATTAATGATATCACAAGTGTTAGACTCGGGTAGGTGACCTTTATAGCGGCTTATAGAATGTGATTGTGTATTTGTCACTTTCTACAAGAGTCTCTATCTGCTCTCAAGACACTAAAGTGGCTCTATTCACTTGTATCCACAGAGACAAAAAGAAGTTATAGAATTCCAAGAATCCTTAGACGTGTACAGATATTCTGCATTGCATGCTAATGTTTACCAATAACCTATAAAAGCAAGCTGGGATGTAAGGTTGTCATATCGCCTTGTGCTAGGCCTTTATTGAATCTATAATACATAACGCCGGTCCGCCTGTCAGGTGTTAATGAACCTCCCTAGACGATAATAGTACATTTAACCAAGTTCGAAAGCGTAGGTCATCGCAAATATCCCAACATAGACCACATAAGATATATGAACAAGATTATGCCAATATGCCTCGAAGATTGGTTAGGTTAGAGGGTAAAGGAGATGAAGGAGGTGAAGGCAGTGTGAGGATGGATGAATGATTTTAGGGATGGCATAACACTCAATTAGACGGGAAAGATTGGTAGGATTTGCGAATGTTTGAAGAAGGGTATTTATTGATGGTTGAGACCTTTTTTATTTGGGGGGAAACTTTCGTTGGAGGTCTCTGTAATTCAACGGCGGCAGAGGAGACAGCTGAATGAGGTTTTGAGGTAGTAAGCTTAGAAGCTATAGATGGTTCCTGAGTTGTCGTATCCACCTTTGGAAACTGGTGAGACATCATTGTCTGTATCATGTCCAGCTGTGATTTTAGAGTAGCCATTTCTGCTTTTCGCGTTTGGCGTTCAATCTCCAATGCAATGTCGCGGATGGCTATATCCAAAGAGTGAACTTCCTCCCGGACGGATTCCGCCTCACTTGGCTGAGATAGCTTGAGATGTAAATCCCTCATATTTCGCATATGGCTCTCCTTGTCCACTTCAAATTTCAAATCACGGATGACCAATTCAGAGCTTCGAATGTCGTACGCAAGCTGGTCGTACCTCCGCTGGTATGATGCATTTCGGTCCTGTGTTATTGATACGGCTTGCTGAATGGCTCCTCTAATGCTATTTGCAAAAGCTCTGTGTCTCTCATCAATAGATAATTGGGAGACAGGAAGTTTGGGAAGTTCCGCAGCTGCGCGCCACCGCTCCAAAGTGGACAAAATGACGATTCTCTCATCAGTAGAATTGTAGGCATCTTGCCAATCAATACCATGGGCGGCAGCAGCTTTTAGAATGGAGTTTCCCAGTCTGTCTTTTCCGCAAGAATTGCAGAAGGCGGCCATGTATAATATCAGTCGTTCAAACTGACCCTCACTATCTGCCACAGTGGAAGATATATAATCTACCACTCTTAAGAGAAGTAAACCACCGCTTTCCCAGTCCTGCTGTTGTGTATAATATCGTAGGTAAGATCCTAGTATGTGCGGATTGTCTGAATATCCACGATGTCTCATGACGGCTAACCAGGCATCTGCCCTCTGCGGCTGGTTAAAACTAAGAGCGGAAGATATAAGTGTGCTCAAAACTGCATGGTCGCTGCCCCTGGGTGGTACTGGAATTTCCATGTTGCCGACCTTTGTGAGTTTCCAATACTGCGGTAAACGTAGCAGTTTTCCTCCGAGCAACCTGTTTAAGAAACCATCAAACCTATACAAATCTTTAGATTTGTTGAAGAAGTCCAGGGTAGCGATAATCACTCCTTCTCCAAGAATAAGGCCATTCGGGAATATCGAGTCAATTATCATGTTCACCACATCGTTTTGCCTCGACCGACCAAACATCCTTATCATTAGAGACACGGAAAGCCGTGATAACGGCTCTTCTGACGATAAGATATTCTCTGCAACTTTGACAAGCAGATCTCGAGACGTCAATTCGTCATCTTGGTACATGGTATACATCCGCTTCAAATCTTCATTCAAAGCAGCCCTCTCTGCGATTAGATTCTCATGCTCCACTATTGTGATATTCCTGGCAAGATCGCCAAACCATGCATCCCGAGAGCTCCGGAGTTTAGCTATCCTAACCCGGATATCTTCGAGTTCTTCCAGAAGCTTTTCTATTTCGATATCCGGGAGGATGCAAGATGTTCGAGAAGTAAATGGCACGCCAGCATACAAGTGAGCTAGGGCAGGCCGTAGGATCATCTTAATCGCTAATTGTCTTGCAGCTAATCGGAGAATCGCCCGTTGCCGTAGAATATCATTAAGTGAGAGGTCGCTTTCATATCGTTCTATTTCGGCCTCAGACCTGGGGTCCACGTCCAGATCGTAATTCGTTAGCTCGCGGGGGTGTGATTGTATCTGTAGGGTTGCTGAGTTCTCCGTTCCTGGGTTGATGTATTCCACATCAAGCGCTTCTACTTCTGAGTTTCGACATTGAGCTCCAACAGCCTGGGTCGATAATCCACGGTATGTGCGTCGAAATGTGTCCGGCCTTGTAGATGTACTGTATCCCCTCCGTTGATGTGATGGAGTTGACGTCCGAGTCCTCTTCCTTGATGCTAGAGCTTCTAATCGACGGAGTTGATCAAGCTCCAGTGCTTCAACCTCTGCTTTCACGGCTTCAATTTCTTGTTGTCTCTCGATCCTTCTCCTTGTCTTGACGCTAGTATCCCATGCAACAGCAGTAGCAAATAAAGTGGCATAAAATCCGGTAACGCTATTCCCAATTAACAGCCGCCTTCGACTCGCTGCAGATACCGTTCGGTTAGATGCAGCATTTGAAGTAGAGCTCTTCAAGCAAGAGCCACATCGGCATGTATAGGCCTGTATCTGGGCCCGTGGCCAAAATGTCTGCATCATGCGGAATATGGACGGGGCATCGGAGGGCGGCGGTTGGGGGCGGGGGAAGGACACTCGTGTGTTGTATCCTATATCAAAGATGGTCCCTGGCGCATGACAGTGAGGGAATCCATGCTGTAGACATCAATTGCGGGCGTTCGGGGCGACAGTATGGCATGAGTTGCTGATATCAACGACCAAAGCCCTCCATGGACATATTTCTTCGTGCTAGGCAAAATTGACTTTTGGAACATTACATAAGCAATGAGATAGGATAGTGCAAACAATGCAAACAAGCTCAAGTTCGCGCTTAAGTGTAACGTATGCCGTCTCTATCAGATCTACAAAGGGATATATATATGCCAGCGGAGGATACATCCCACTATCCAGCAGCAATTGAAGGGCTCGCAGTGTCGAAAGGCATACCATATCTCACCATGATTAGCCCACGGAGTATTTTATTAGCCCTTTTGGCATTCACTCCCTCTATCCACGCCCACGGGTCCCACGGCGATAACCAAGATCGCTCCAACCTCGACTGGGCAACCCTCCATATGATGGGTATGTTTATTATATTATCGAGTCCAACCAGCAGTTTCGTGGCTGAATGCTCCTTTGCTTTTTGTAAAAACGTTTGGCACGAGTGTGTCTCTGACAAGTAAGAACTATTATAGAGGAGCACCACATCACATCATTTGACGCCAGATCATTCTTTTCACTACACGACTATGATAACTCCGGGGTATGGACAACAGACGAAGTCCGACGAACGTATGGGCTGGACGATGAATCGAATGCGGCATTAACCGAAGAACGAAAACAACAAATACTTCGAGAGATTTTTAATATCTTCGACCCTCTAAAGACAGGTGTGATTTCAGCCAACGACTATGTGCGTCTCACACAGCAAGGCAAGAAGTTGCCTGATTTTGGAACTGGACCCGGACACCATGGCGACATGGAGTACGAATATGAGATTCATCACTTCGAGAAGTACCATGGAGATGATGCGAAAGAGGAGGATTTGACCCACCCGGAGGATATCGAACACTTTAGAAAGCACGACAGAGAGTATGCCGAAAGCCTCAGATTGGAGAAGCTTGAAAGCATGGATATTGTGCTTGCCAATATTCCTGCCAAATTTTTGAAAAGCCCAAGCGCGTAAGCTTTCTTGTTCAAATTGTTAGCTGATGCGTCTGAATGAATAGAATGCTGTATGATTCCGTTTAGCATGTTTAATAGATTTCTAATGCCAGTGTATATACCATACTACTCGCCAGTTTTCTTTGTAGCAACGCGCCTACTAGTCGTATGCAGCAACAGCTCGGCTAAATATTTTCACTCTATATTCTCACGATCAAAAATCCGGGAAGGTTTGATATTCAGGTCGAAAACGCAGTGCATCACACCTGGAGCATAAGTCTTGACCTCCTCAACATGCACACACTCTACCTCGCTCGAGGCATGACCATCTATAAGCTTTTTCTTGGATTGTATTCTTTCAAACTCTGCAACAATTGCAGCCTGCTTCTGCTGTATTTCGTGAACATTGACGTTTTCATGCACATGAACCCAGCCACCCACCTCTGGATCTATCAAAGATGCGGCGGTACCCCAAGTTTCTTTGGAACTTGGTAGGAGGCCCAGATTAGCATGTCGTATTGGCTTCCAAGCGCTCCTTGCCTCCATCTTGGCCTTGATGCCTTGCATAACACCGGCAGCGAAGGTGTTATCGCCGTGGAAGGCAACAACTCGCAGGTTGTCATCTTCCAACATCTCAACTAGGCCATCAATCCCATCAACCGTCCCTTCATTGTTCATCTTCAGTATCTTTATTCCCCATTTGTTTGCTTCACATCCTCTTCGCAGACCTTCAATGGACCAGCCGTTAAGCTCCCAAGCCCAAACCCTGGCCACGCCCATTTTCAAATAAGAAAATACAAAATAGCCTATTCCAGCGTACAGGTCTATCACGGAAATTTTTTGCACAGGCTGACACAGTTGCTGTTCGTTCAAGCCATCAAATCTTGATTCTAGTCCGAGAATCCTAGCCTTCTCCACGATATTCCCACGGCTAAACATTGTATACAATGGAGCCCAAACTTGGGTTATCTTGGAGTTTTGCACAGTCTTCACCCAAAATGCCTGCTGAAGATCTGTCTCTGATGGGTCTATATTTTGATCTGTAGAGGGTATCATTGGGCCAAAATCTCCGTATAAAGGGGTGAGATCAGTCGGGCCTCGTACTTTATTCTCTTTTCCAATACGAGTAGTAAGTGAAATAGGAGCATTGACTGCTACATGAGTTACACCCATTGGCGAAAAAACCTCCACTATGCAGGCGTATAACTCTTGCAGTTGGGCATCGGTTAAAAGGGAAATGAACGATTCCCATTGAGGGCTCTTGTTGAAAAAGTTTGGGGAGAGAAGAAGAAGGGGTTCGTATATAGTAAATCTTTTACTGACAGAAGACAGCAAACTGTCCAGATCAATATGGTTGTCCAGCATGAATGAAGGCTCAAGATGATTGTCAATAAAGAGTTTAACCGCACGCTGAACCGAAGGGTTTACAGCTTTCTTTCTTGGCCTTCTATCGGGATTTTGTGACCTTGCATTGTGCATTCTCGAATATGTACGGCATATACTCCCTCCGATTAACACGTTGTCAGACTCAGCCAGCTCATGATGGATAGTCGTCGATCAGCCTCGAGATGGTTGAAAATCCACAATGGATCACGTGATGGTTCATTGACGTGAGCTCGAAGCTTAATATTCTTGTTTTGATATCAGTTTTAACCACAGACGAAGATAACGAAGCAACGATGAATATCTGAAATAACGCTGCTAGAGGGACATTCTTTTATTTTAAAATAAATTACATCTCCTGCCAAAGATAAGGTCGTCTTGCACGAGCTGTAAGCTGCTAACTAGGGCCGATCTCCACATTAATTCATGGCGTGTCAACTCCCGACAGAGCGGTATTCAGCCATCAGGCAGCCCCTAGACAAATATGATCTTTCTGAAAATCGACGTTATGTGGAAGCTTGCTTTGTCTGGTGAACTCCAAGCACCCAAGATCTGATCTGGATAGGTCTCTTTCGAAGTCACAGTGCGGAAAAAGTTCATACGCCATTTCGAGCCCTGGGGAGTGTCCACGTTAAAGAGAGCAAGAGGGATCTGTACATTTGAAGTCCACTTCCCTTGGGTTTGAGCAAGCGATGTCTTCGAGGTGATTCCGTCTGCTATGGGGTTGCTGATGAAGGCGTGGTCGAATGGAGCACCGTCTGTTCGGTTTTTGGATGGGTTGTAGACAAAGGCCTGGTATGTGACGTTGTTGGGGCTGACTTCAAATTCAAGATATGTTGAAGGATCGGCATGGCCGGTAGATATAAAGGCTTCCATCACTTCATATTTCCAGATATCATCGTTTATCTTTGCGAAGGGTCGAAGTAGAAATACTTTTCGTCCTTTGCCTCAAACTTCAAGCTGAGTGTCTTGCTGTTATAGCAAAGCCTAATGGTTGTCCGTGGGAAGGGTTTCTGGTCAGGAACAGTCTTGTCGAAATTAATCACAGCATTCCAGGGACACCTGGGAACCTGGACGATAGGGTCATGGGCTACCACACAGCCGACAGCTGTAGCCACCGCAAGGACAGAGTGAAGGCGCATTTTCTAGAGATGTCTGGATATGTCAACTCTGTATGAAAGGATGCGGAGGAAGGAAGCGCGGGACGATATTTTCAACCGAGAACTCCGGACGACATGGGACGGCGCATACACTTTATAGCAGCTGCCATGGGTGCATGTCTCTCTTGCAGCTCTGGACAGCAGTGACAAAGCGGGAAACGTGTATTATCATCCCTGCGGAATTATAGCATCTGCAGGCAAAGCTATCACTAGCTTCTTGAACCGAATGAAAACAGCTATATTAGCATTCCCCTGCGGTGGAATGTAACACTCCAATAGGGCCCAGGTATGGCGATTGGTTGTCCCCTTGTTCCTTGATCGAGTCCAGCCGTCCTGGACCCTAGGAGCTCATTACCACGGTGCCAGCGACATGTTTTCACCATGGCTTCGATTGGTGAACATGTGGAACGTAAATCCTCGACGTTGCACTGTGGGATGCATCACGCGCGTGGCAGCAGGCCGACCCACTGCCATCCTCCAGCTACTCGTATTGTGAACGGCAAAGGAGCGAGATTTGACCTGGAAAGGGTATCAGGATGGAGGAATAATATCGCCTGTCCTGGGAACGTCCGAACGTTAGGACTCCATCGGCCATCGGGCACAAGGCCGAGTTTGGGTGGATTGCATACAGGTACTCTGGTCATATATTTATAACTTGGGGCGGCCGCCGCTCAGTAAGTAGTTATTTGCCTTCATACTCCTGAGCTTGTCTTGCATTAACTAACTACTTCACCGAGTGTTAAGCTGGTTAAACTAACTTGTTATTTTTTGCTTTTGGGAAGGAAAATAAATGAACGCTTCCAAGCAGGCAGTCAACCGCCCACAGAGCGTGGCACGAGTCGGGGAGCACATAAGCAGTCGAGTCAGTATGAATAACTCTTATTTATCTCTATTTATGCATCAAAATACAAGTTGGAGGCCGTCGGCCGACTCGAGCTTCTTTATACAAACACAGGGCTTGGTATTGATCGCTGCACAACGTGCATTCAAGGTATTTCCCCAAGGCCCGGGAAAGTCCAGTAGCCAGATTGGATGCAAGATCCAGATGAAGACGATGAAAAAGCGCCTATCCATCAAAAAACCTGGACTATCTATCAGGCAGCAATCAGTTATGAGTGGCTGATCGTTTGACGTTGGCTCGTAAAATGACGATCTTCCAGCTCGTCAGAGCCATCTCACCCGTCTCTGCCCAATCATAGCCATTGAATGATGAGAGATTGACGAGAAATACGATATCCAAAAGAGGGACTATAAATAGTCCAAGTATATATACCTTAACTGTCCCTCAGCCTCATTATCTCTTGGGAAACAGTGACCCCGACCCCCCTTCCCAAGCAGAACCACTCTCCGACATTTCCCTAGCTAAGTCAAAGACAGCTTTTCCAAATATGAAGCCTCTTTTCGCCGCACTTTTACTCTTGCCTACACCCATATTTGCAGCTGTGGGTGGTAGATGCTACGGGGAATGGAACACAGATCGCTGTATTTGCTTGGATCACAACGTCTGTACCAACACTTATCATGGGTGGGCGTACCAGGGAACTCCGGAGACAAAGAACTGGGCTTGTCCCTTTGATGGAAATAACGTGTGGGGATGTGAGATCTCTCCCTGTCCAGGCAAGGGAAGGACTGCGGTATGCAAATGGAAAAATGAGTGCATAGGAACTGTACTTCCGGGTAGGTCAAATATCCAGATGTTTGATGTCCTGTACGAGACACCTAACATATTCTAGATCCGGTTTGTCCTGGCGGCGGCGACTTTGTGTGTTGTCAAAATGCCTGAAGTATTCATTTACTGCTTGACCTTGGAGCAATGACTTCTTTACCTGAATGAGATAGCTGGAAGTGTGCTGTGATGTCATGTATAGGGTGTTGGATCGTTTATATATATCAATATATATGCCTAACCCAGTCTTTGAATGACTATGATGCGTTTCGTGTCTCATAAGTTATCCTTTCTGATTTCCTAAACCGAAATTTACTCAAGAAGTTCCCGCCTCTATATATACCCTTATGTTTCTATTCCATCCCGCAGTTTTAAATGCGGATGTTGCTCCTTGGAAGACTGGGTAGGCACATCCAGACTAATAAACAGAGTATTAATACTCCTAGTATGAACGGCTGCAGAACCTCGACTCCTTTTGCCTGGGCGATGGCACCAACAGCAAAAGGCAACGTACTTGCTCCTGAGGCACCCATGGCCGAAGTGAAACCAATAGCAGCAACGTGGAGGTTTCTTGGTAGTAGTTTCGTTGCTGCAACAACACCTGCTGGGAACAAAGGCCCAAGGAAGAAACCCATAAATGCAACAGCGATAGCAGAAGCATAGAAGTTAGGCACAAGCCAGAATACCAGGTCTAGGCCAATACAACATCCAAGGTAGAACACGACGGCGTGTTTTTCTGTTTTGAAACATCTAGGGGTAACAAACCCTAGGATCATCCGGCCTAGTGTAATCCCCAGCCAGAAGCCTGTAGCAGTGACTCCAGAGTCAAAGGGTGAACCATGTCGAACATTTATCATGAAGGTTACAATCCAACCTCCCAATCCGACCTCTGCTCCGGCGTAAATTGCAAGAAAGATACTGCATATCCAGGTTACCCGGTTACTCAACGCTTCTGCCATCCTGGTCTTGCCCAACAGCTTAACCATAAGCTTGTTTGCCCGTACCGGAGGTGTGTAGGCATTGATGTTGTTTCCAGGACCTTCAGCTTCATCGTATGAGTCTCTGTGAGCCTCTCGATATCTGGATCCGGTTGCACTCCAGAATGCCGGGAGGGAAAAAGCGAGAGACAAAAAGGAGGCTCCGGCGAGCAAATAGTAAAACTCGTACCATTCCCATCCGGCCTTGGTAATAAGAGCAGTTGCAATAAGAGGAGCAAGCATTCCTCCTAGACCATAGAAGCCATGGAGTAGACCGAGGAGTTCATTTGCATTTGCCATGCCACCTATCCATGCATTCCAAGCTGCATCTGCAATTCCGTTACCGAAACCAGCAAAGATGAAGGCAACGATAAGGGCCGGATATGGTGGATGAAGACAGACGGCAACATAAGCCAGTATATGCGAACATGGTCCCAGGAAAGCAATACCACGCTGACCCAACTTCATATGGATCATGTTGCTGAATGTCGCTGCTGCTGCATAGCCACCCAACGGCGACAAGAAGATCAGAGAGACGACTGTATATGAGATGTTGTAATGTTTTTCAATCTAGATGTTTCGGTCAGCTCAACGCCGAGAAGCAGTTAGGGGTAGTTAATACATACATATGGTATCACAGCCTAGATGATATCAAAAGAAAAGGGTCAGTTAGTTATTTGTCAACCACCTTGGCTGTTTCTCGACAATGACGAAGCTCACCCCATATGCTGCATCATTGGCACCGAGGATGATGAAGGTATAGTTCGCCGCTGCGAACCTCCACAGGTTGATAGCCGGCTTGTTCCATTTTGGCAGATTCGAGTGAGATGAATTGATCGAAGCAGCACCTCTATTCTCCTCGTCAACTAGCAGTATCGAAACTATCAGCACTGGCCTACCTGGCGGGTTGGCTAGATGGCTAATGGCTAATGCATACCTTCTCTCATCTCCGGCTGGGGAGGAGGCGAGTCGATGCAGCCCTGGCTGAGGGTCGTCAGCGGGACGCTCATCTTGCCCACCAGCTGCCCGAGTTGCTTTGTTCTGGATAACCGACTATACAACTAACTAGTTATACGTAATGTCCTGCGGCGGGAGAGGGCTCGTATTAAGAGGACAATGAGGACAATAACGTTGACAGGATGGCGAGAAGACGCAGCCTATAACTATATATATATGGGACTTCATGAGTCTAGTTACGGCCAACTTGGAACTCGATCTGCCGGGAGCCCAGCATCCGACGGGAAGCTGGTTGACCTGGCTGGGTCGACGGATAGCCCATCCCGCATGGAGCACCGCAGCTGGAGGATTCGTGGTTTACCTCAGTGGAACCGGGAGGCCCATAAATCGACGAATTTTGAGAAAGCCGGTGAACCCTGGACTGGCCCTCCTTCTGCGGGTGCCGTGCCGGGGTTAGTTGCGCCCTTGTCTCCGGCAGCGAAGGAGAGCCGTTCTTTGGTGGCCGGAAACCCGGAATACGGCAGATAAGAATACGATGAACGCTTGGGAGCGATCTGATGGTTCTCTTTTGCGTCATTGCGAGCTCTAGGCCAAAAGATACGGAGTGATGGTCGTGGTGTCTTCGGGCTTGGTATACAGTTCGCCCCCTTTCACGCATGACTTTATATCTACCTAGGTATGATCTCCGTTGTGGGTTGACTGGACAAACATGTTCCCTGCAGAGAAGACGAAATTGGGTAGGATGATCTTCGTGGGGAGAGATTAGGCAGACGAATACATACATTTGAGTACCGGGGGGACACTGCTTTAGCCATGCAGCAGTAGTTATTGAGTAGAAGAACAGCAAGGAATTAAGTAGACAAACATCCATACACCCTCACGATAAAACGCCCTTGCAAGCAACACATTAAAAACACAGATGCAATTCGCTCGTGAGAAGGGAAACGAGTGAGCTGCCTTGAGACAAATGCCAGACACCAAAATAAATGATAAAAAAGACAAAGAGAAACGATTTTAAAACGTCAAGATGGAGAGAGATAAGCATGATTGACATGATTCACCCGCTGCAGTACCCGCAAGCCCACCAGCAATCCATCGCTAGTGGTTTTACTTATCTTCAGTTACTTTTTCCTTCTCATTGGACGCTGCCATATTTCAGTCTGGCTAGGTCAGTAATCAGCTGCTGACGATCCCAGTCTCTCGCTGGAGTCGAGGACGCTAGAAACGTAATCAAATCAGCAGGCCTGGCCATAAATCGACGGAATATCAAACAGAGAAAAGATGTTTCAAAAAGTAAGGGGAAGCTAGACTTACGAATACTGTTTAGTCAGTGTACCCTCGCCGCCTTTCGAAAGATCGATGTTGAAGACGTAGAAGACACCATCACTCGTCACCACCATCACCTGCGGCGTATTGCTACTCATCGCAACAACACTTCTCACAGGCCCAGACCGTGCCTGAGCATTTGCAGTATGCTTGGGCAGTTTGATCCAGGCGAAATCGCGTGCTGGCTCCCACATCTCCGTCACACCTTTAGGTAGGTATCCGCCTACCGTGGCAGCAACTGAGGTGCCGAGTGTCTGTGAAGTGCGTCTTATTAACCCCATGAACGTACCATCGTATTTGCGTCCTAGGAATCCATCCATCTCCGGGCCTTTACTACCAGAAGTTTCACGCGGACGGTTTCCCGGTGGTGAACTGCTCGCGCTTCCAGTTGAACCGGGAGACCCGGTTGCTGTTCCTTGGTGGCCCAGTTTGAAGATGTGCACTGTCTCCGTAGCAGATGAGACACAGAGCAGGGTAGATGTAGTGTTGAATGACATGCTATAAATCGTCGATGGCATCGATCCTCTGCGAAATTGATACAGCTTATGGCCGTCAGAGACTGAAAAGACACGAAGAATCGTGCCCTTGTCGGATGCGGTAGCAAGCATGGTACCATCATTGTTCAATGAGATACACGACAGTGGTGATCGATGCGCTTCTATAACATTGATGGCTTCAAGCTTTTGGGCGTCGAAAATTAACACCTCTCCATTCGTAGGGGCAATGTGTGAATTCCCTGGAGGAGTGTGGGTAGGAGCAGTGAATGATGGAGGAGGAGCCTTTTGCGGAAGCGGATAGGCAAGATAGCAATTATCGGACGATGGAGACAGAGCGCAAATAGCTAGATAATATATATTAGCCTAGGTCCGCGAGTTAACCAGGAAAAGAAGTCTTAGATATAGGTAGTCTTACCGTTCGGATTTGGTGATGTTTCAATCGTGTACAGCAGTTTCATCGTCTGGATATCATAGACATAGATCTGGTCCTCCAATACGATAACTAGGCGCTTTCGATTGAGGCGCACAGCGAGCACAGTTGTAGGGAAAGTCAGTTCACAAATAATCGATTGTCTCTAAAAGATTCAGGCAACCGTAAGCCATTCCATCAGGTAGAAGGTATCACAACTCTGCTTCTCCAAATGAATTACCCACTCACCTTTGTATTCGTGATTTGAAGCCGGCGAGGAGAGAGTATCAATGCGACAAGCGAAGTGGAAAATAGCATCTCCAGCATGGCGATATTTCCGTCCTTTGTCTCATAGCTCTTCACGAAGGGGTCGGTCGAAAATATGCGAAAGCCTTTCGCGGTGCCTGCACAAGTCCGCACTGGTTAAAAAATGTCTCCAGTACGAAAGGCCATCCATATGAAGAGTCATACCGACAGCTAGGTAGCTGTAGTCCTGGTTAAATGTTACAAAATTCATCGCCATGATGCGCCAAGTTGTCGCGTAGAGAGCGGAGTCGAAAATGCGGGCAAGACGGTATGACTGGAGAGTTACTCAGGCAGCTCAATGTCACAGATAGCGAGGATAACTTCAAAACTCCGCAAGTCGTTTCTACCTGTGGGGGGTCGTCGAGGGTAGGTCTCCAAAGTCTCCGGGCGTCTGGAGTGTTGCGTCAAGCGTCCGAGGTGGCAGGCATTATCCAAGAGTAGGTCGAACGGTGCGGCCAGAGACACAAAAGATGGTACCGAGGTGGCCAGTAGGTGGCGGAGGCAAGGAGGCAATATTATTGTGCTGCTGGAGCCGTGCTGGATGTTCCGCCGAATGTTGAAATGGCGACTCTGGCAAATATAACGAGTTGGTGTTTTGAGCAAACATCGCCAACGAGAGGAAAAGTGACGGAAGTCATACGCAGGTGCAGAGTGGCTTGGCCGAAAGCGGCTTAGCGTCCATCATATGACGCACGGGAAGATGCACAGATCATTTTTGAGGCTTATATCATGTGACTCTTATCGATAAGCTAAAAATTATTTTTATCAAGGCTTGGCATATTTTTTCCGCTCCGGCCTCCTTCTTTGGCCCTGACCAATCGGGCTCATGGTATTATCATAACACGGACTGTGTTGACGCGCAGTTGCAGAGTGTGAGGTCTTTATGAGGAGACCAAAGCAGTGCTATGACGATGAGCAAACCCAATGAACTCCAGACGGAGAAAGAAGCGGGCATGGTGATGGGGGTAAGCGTTTTTGTTCTATTGCCTTCTTTTTTTCCATTCTTTATATTTTGCTAAGACTTTATTCCAGACGAATGGAAGTAGTATCGTTTCCAAGCGTAGCGTTGAGCGGATATACTACAAGGAACCTCACTTCTTTCGGCATTTCGTCAAGTCCTCCCCCCGCAGAGCGCCCTTGATAAACCGGGGGTATTGGTTGCGAATGTATGCTATTGAGCATACGGTCATAGAGTTCCTCAAAGAGGCGACAGGACGCCCAAAACTAGTCATTAATTTTGGATGTGGATTGTAAGTTTGTAACTTGCAGCATCTCGGATACTGACTGAAAGAACTTCATTAACACACTCACTCTTCTAATTTGTTTTATATAGTGACCCATTAGTTTTTCAACTACTTTCTCAGAATCCAAGTCTATGTGAAGATACTATATTTATTGAGATTGATCACCACAAAATGATGTTGGAAAAATGGGAAGCCATACAAAGCAGCGCCGAACTTAAGGAGCTTATCCCCGACGCAGTTTCATCGAGTGAGGGTGGTCCTGTTATCCACGCCAAACAGTATATTGGAATTGGGTGTGATCTTGGAAATCTTTCAGAATTGGAACGAACGCTAAAATCTGAAGTGGATACATCCGAATGCTCCATACTGTGCACTGCTGAAGTAGCTTTAACTTATATGGCAGTCAAGGCCGCTGATGCACTAATATCATGGGCTGCGAGACTGAGTGATGGTCAGCGCTTATTTTCCTCTTACATTCTTAATACGAGGCTGGGTTAATTGAAGAGTATTTGCTAACCAACTCATTATCAGATACCCAATTCGTGTTGTTGGAGCAGTTCTTCCCAGACGGCCCTGATCATCCCTTTGCAAGAACCATGATAGCTCATTTCACTAAATGGCGTGCACCGCTTCAATCAATTCACATATATCCCACATTAGCCCAGCAGGAGCAGCGATTCCTCAAAGTAGGCTGGAAGCAAGCAAGAGCTAGAAGCCTGTGGGAAGCCTGGAGTGACCCCAGTTTCATAACCGCTGGAACACGTGCATCTCTCGACCAGTTTGAAGCCTTTGATGAGTGGGAAGAGATTGCTTTGTTTGCTTCACACTATTTTTTGCTCAGAGCTAGTACGCGGGCGACAAAAAGCAATAGCAATGACGAAGCGTTCGTTAATACAACTACAGAACTGTTGGATACTCAACCCCGGATGACTGCTAATTTTAAAGCAGGTCCAACCCATCACAAGCGATTTGGAGCCTTATTTTCTTTTGGTGACCAGATTGGTTTTCATGCGGGGTTGGGACAACAAGCTCGACTTTCGTCTACAGATACATATGTGCAATCGGATGCCGCATATGCCCACGTAAAATGTGTACCACCAGAGTCACTCCCAGCACGGATATGCCATACCATAACGCAGGTGTCGAATAACAGATGGCTATTAGTTGGGGGTAGAACCGCGCCGTCAAAGGCCTTAAATGATACCTGGTTAATGGAAGGGGATAGGTGGCGACAATCGTGTCCCTTTCCAACTTCATCCTTTCGACACTCTGCAACTGCTGTTATACTTCCTAGTGGCGAAGAAGGCGTCCTTGTTTACGGCGGAAAAGCATCGAATGGCACCGTTAGCGGGGAATTTTCCTTGTGGAGAAACAACAGCGGCATAGAAACTTGGACAGTACTATCGAAAAATGGTAGCTCTTGCATGCCGCGCTTCGGGTCTGTTTTGTCTAGCATTGGTAAGGGGAGAGGAGTCCTTACTGGAGGAATGTCTCAAGATGGCATAGTGCTGGATGACTTTTGGACATGGCAGATATCCACCGATGATACTGGGAAAATATATATCCGGTTAACAGATGAGAAGGCTCGACTGGAAGGTTCTCATCCACAAATATCCAAATGGGTTAGTCGTTTTGGTTCCACTGCGCATCAACTTGGAGAAAGCCTTGTTCTCATTGGAGGAATTGCTGTTGGTGGGTGTATACCGCATGAGTATGAAGTCTTAACCCTGGACCTCAGCGTCTTTCAGTACGACGATACCCGTGAACTGTCTGTACCGATGGCCTGGAAATCTCCTGTCGCTGCACGGCCGCTTTTGGTTGGCCACAGTTCCATCTTGGCTGGTGGCGGCAAGATCTTGATCGTAGGCGGAGGAGCAGTGTGCTTTGCCTTTGGCACATACTGGAACAATGGCACCTGGGAGTTATCTTCTGGAAGCTCTTATATAAGGGATAATGAATGGCGAATGCTTCGGCCATAGCCAGAACCTCCTGTATCCAGAACGGTGAGGGATGGCCAACTATCGAAGCTGGAACATTTCACCGCTAGCACTGGCATCAGGAACTAAAAACTACTATTATCAGAAGAGTTCCTTTTTACTATAAGCTAAAGGAGTATTCTGCAAGTTAAGATACCAACGAAAAATCAACGCCAGACATAAAGCGCCCCTGTTGAAATACCGTCACAGCGTTAGTTAGGCTGCGGGTAAATCGTTTTGGATAGGCATTGCCTTCCAAGGCAGCGCGCGGGAAGCCACTGGATTCTCCCAAGTTTAAC